TGATACAGAGCACTTGCAAAGCTGGCAGTGTTCTATGAGGGCAGGCAGCACTGACAATACTGCCTCACCTGGCATCTCCCGATTCAGTGCTGTGCAGCAGAGAGAGAGAGAGAGAGAAAGAGATCAGGCTGCTGTGTGGGGACAGTTAGCATTGGCAACAGCAGTGCAGTGACTCTTCCATCCCAAAGGCTCATTATCACTGGAGACAGCTTGACAGATTACCGCAGAAGGCAGGCTGAGACCACATTAAAAAGCCTAATAGGAAATGTGGTCCCCACCTAATGTTCTGAAGTGAAGGTCTTGCATCCAATCTGTGCCAAGGTGAATCAGACCCAGATGGCGTCTCATGCCTGGGATAGGAACATGAAAAAGTGGCTTATCAGATACCGTGTATCCAATGGATCTTTCCCCCGATTCCCTTTGTTCAGCAGATAGGGGGAATGAGACTGTAGAGGTTTCAGATAATTTGCCATTGCCCTGTGAGCTAGTCAGGGCTTCCAGACAAGGGGTCAGCTCTGGCACTGCTAGCATTATGATCCTGCAGTCAAATCAGACTGCCACAGGCAGGAAACTAGCTCAGGGCTGAGTGAGCGACGTGGCATGGGTTCCTGTGTGGCCCCAGAAGCTGACTTGCTATTGTACAATACAAGTTACTTTTCTAGTGTGGAATTAGGAGGAGGATGGAAATGAGAGCCACACAGCTGCAGAGCTGTGGGCTGAACAGTGGGCAAAAATGAACAAAATACAGTTCAAAGCAGCTTCCAAACTTAACTGTGGAGATGCTACAATCTATAATCTCTGCAATAAAGAGAGGATCGTAGCAGTTGTTAACCGACACGGGTAGTGGTAACCAGCAGGGTCTGAATACAAAAACCAATGTTTTCAAACCTGACTGCCTAAAATTAGGCCCCTAAATCCATGTTTAGGCAGCTGGGGTGGGATTTTCAAATGAGCCTAAGGCCTGGTCTATAGTTTATGTACCAGTATAACATTCAGTTAGGTTTAATTTTTTTTTTCAACTGATACATTTATACCAGTACAACTCCCAGCGTGGACAGTTGTATTGACATAAAGGTGCAATATATTGGTATAGTCTTTCCCAATCTCAGGTGAGAATAAGGGCTTGTCTACATTTAAAACGCTGTAGTGCTTCAGAGAAGACACTACCTATGCCAACGAGAGCGATTCTCCTGTCAGAGTAGGTAATCCACTTCTCCAAGAGGTAGTGTTAGGTCAACGGGAGAATCTGTGGACAGGTAACTAACCCTCTTCTATCTCCAATGCTTTTAGCAAATTTTACTTGCAGCCTGCAACATTTTCTTCTGCTTCCTCTGAGTCTGAGTGGATTTTACAAATTCCAAGGCTTGTCTGATTGAGGGGGAGAAAGGAAGGGGGAGTAGCTCTAGTGGAAGGGGAGAGAGAGAGACTGGTCTCTTCGGAGGGCCCTTTGTATCGTTCAGGAAGATCAGTAACGCTATGCCCCATCTGTACCAATTATTGCTCAGGGCTGGTGTACACTGAACACATGCATCGGTATAGCTATGTTTCTCAGAGATGTGAAAAACCCACCCTCCTACGAGATGTAGCTGTGCAGACCCAACCTGCGGTGTAGACAGCGCTAGGTTGATGGAAGAATTCTTTAGCTACCACCTCTCAGGGAGATGGATTAATTAGGCTGACGGGAGAATTCCTCCCATCACTGTAGGTAATATCTACACTGAAGCGCTACTGCAGCGCAGTTGCAGTGCTGCAGCTATGCTGCTGTAGTGGTTTAAGTGTAGACATACCCTTAGAGTTAGGCCTGGTCTACACTAGAAAATTAGGTTGGTTTAACTACATCCGTCGGGGTGTGAAAAATCCACACCCCTGAGCAGCGTAGCTACATCAACCTAATCCCTCCTGTCAGCCTAGTTAGTGTCTACACCAGTGGTCTCAAACTCAATTTACCTTAGGGCCAGGGCCAGTCCTCAATCCTCCCAGCGGGCCAAGAATGTGACTGAAGATGGTGTTCAGAAAAGAAAATGTTTATATTGTATTTTTCATTTCGAATTTCTTAGAAATAATAAAACTGTCATAACAACTTTATACAATCCTTCACCTGCCAGAGAGTTTTTAGTGTTTGCCAGACACCTGGCAACGCTTCAGTTCTGTCAGTTTGTTGATGTTTGGCCTCAGTGACTGAGCAGTTGAAACCTTCAGGATTGCAGCAAGGTGTGCATCAGATAATTGTGTTCGGTGTTTTGACTTGTTTATTTTCATTATGGAAAAAAGTGACGCTGCCTCCAAGGCTGACTCTGCCTAGCAACCAGTAATGGTATCTCTGTCCCTCTTCCCCCAGCCAATGGGAGCTGCGGGGGGCGGTGCCTGCCGCAGACATTGCCGGCAGTGTGGCTGCATGCGTCTCTCCTCCGCGGGCCGGGACTTTGAGACCCCTGGTCTACACTTAAGCGCTGCAGCTGCACTGCACTGTAGTGTTTTTAGTGTAGACAAGTCCTTACTTAGCACATTCTATGGGGTGGCAAGGAAAATGAAGTGAAAAATGGATGCTGGCTCTGGGGATTTCATAGTCTTCTATTTTTTCCTGAGGTTGGTTTCCTTTGGCTTCAGTAACCAAGAAATATGAGATAGATTACAGGGGGAACCTTTCTGCTCAAGATATTTAGAGCCAGATCCTAAGCTGGTGTAAAACAGTGTAGCTTTATTTACTTCAGTGGAACTATGCAGATTTACCTCAGCGGATGAGTCCCAGATCATCAAGTTTAATGATCCAATCAGAGTAATCCAACCCAGCCATCCGACTCAGGACTCTCAAGTGCTAGTGAAGAACACTAACCAAATCGGCACCTGGCAAACTCCTGGCTTGGAGGCTGACATTTGTCCTGTGATTTCAACATGGATTTTTTTCCTATAAAGGGAAGAAGTGATGGTGTGATTTGATGGAGAGTGACGCCTAGTGGTTAAAGCAGGGTCGGACAGCTAGGACTCTTGAGTTGTGTTCCCAGTTCTGCCACTACTTGCTGTGTGGTCCTGGGAAAGAAGCTTAACTGTGCCATGCCTCGGTTTCTTCATATGTATATTGAGTATAATATAAACGGTACTGTATTTCACAGTGGCATTGTGAGGATTAAGTAATGTTTACAGAGAGGTTTGTGATCCACCAATGAAAAATGACATACAAGAGTAGTCCAAGTGTCATGCTGTCTGGAATGACTCATGACCGAGACTGCCAGCCTCAGGGCAGACTGTCAAAAAGCAGGGCAGACACCCCACACTGGTTGTATGTTCTATAATTAGATTTCACCAACCCAGAAAGAAATGTGAACTCTCAAAGTAATACAGTAGTTTTATAACAGAGTCACAGACAGTCCCCTAAGACACTCCAGCCTATCTTGCCAGCCAGGCAAGCTGGACTCTGTGATAAATGGTCACTTACACCCAAACTCACAAAATATTCAGGTTGCTCCCAGTCCCAAAGAAGCAGTCACTTACCCTAGATCAATTTGTACCTTAGATCTCATACCATAGCCAATCCTGTAATAAACTAACTAAAGGTTTATTAACTAGGAAAAAGAAGTAAGAGAGTTCTTTACAAGACAGAGCAAGCAAGCATGTATACACAAATGAGTTTCAGTGTGTGATTCAAAAGGTGACAGAGCTGTAGTAATCTGCCAATTCAAAATGTCTTTCAGGACTAAATCATGCCAAGCAGCATGGGAATCTCTTTGCTTATGTTTAGGAATCTTTGCCCCACAGAATCCAGACAGCATAAAAGAGATTCAGTTTCTTCTTGTCAGGGATTTTTATCCCCTCCACTCCAGAATCCAAAACTGATGGGATGAGTTCATGCACAAGTCTCTCCTACCTGGAGGAAGGTAGGAAAGCAGTTAACAGGGCCTCTGTCCTTTGATGCTACATAATACCTCATTTACCATCAATGGGCTATCTTGTGTGCAGGGTGAGCACTTTGACTTAATTAATGCTTCTTTTCCTGTTTAGTGAGTTACACAATTACAGAGGTTTACAAGGCAAACACTCATAACTTTATAACATGAGCTGCAGCCATTGATCTTACTTATAACCACCAAGGTTATAAATGAGATCAATACATGCTGCATCCTACAAGCATTTTATAAAGTCTAAACACATTCTTAGTGATTTAACATCTAACATCTATTTTGATAATGCTAACACACGGGTACACAAGATTGGTTTCCAGCTATCCATTTGTATGTGTTCAGTAAGGCCTGGGGCCTTGTCATGAGCTGGCACCTGGTCTGCCAGCGTCACACCATATACTTCCCCTAACCCCCAAATTCCTCTTGTTCATAATCTTTTGCTAGGCTACACTATGAACTTGATTTATCTATAAAAGAGCATGACATAGGAACCTTAAATTAAATCTATACTGTTGTTTCCTCACTCACTCAATGTTAGCCATGTACTACTCCATACCCCTTAGCGACAAAACCCTGGGTGACTACGGCCCGAGCCAACAGTGGGTGCATTTTGTGTCTGAGTTTGGACTGGATTTTAAATCCAGGTGCTGTTCTGAACAAAAAGGGGAGACACTGGCAGAACAGGGCCCAGGGAAGCAAGAGAGCTTTCTCACCACCCTCTGGAGTCACTCTGACGTTCGGAGAAAGCCAAATGAAACAGAAAGGAAATGAGGGAGGTGTGTGTGTGCAAAGCTTTTCTCCAGCTCTCCACTGAGCCGTGACCTGGTTTCTCCAGGAGCTGCCTGCTGTTTTCTTATTTTCTAAGCAAGTGCCTAAGACAATGCCTTGCATGCCAAACAGAGTCAGCCAATCAGATAGGAAAGGTCCTGATCCTTCCCTCTTTTTTTATTTTTCTTCCCTGGCTCTGAAATAACAGTTCTTGTGTCCACAGAGAAGATAGGGGAAAAAAGCTTCTCTTACCTGCCTGAGCACTGGGTTAAGTGTTGTTGTTTTTTTGGTACTGTATTTAGCTATTAATATTTTTCATTGTTGTCATCTTGGCAGAACCCAAGAAGAAGAAAAAGGAAGGCAAGAAACAGGAGAAGATGCTGGATTAATAGAAGCCATGCTGGGCAGCAGGAGAAAGGGACATCAGCAAACGTGATCAGTTAACAGTTTCATTTACATCTAGGCAATTTACCCTAAAATTATTTATAGCTTAATTGTACAATAGGAGGAAAAACGCACACACACACACACACACACACACACTACCTTTTTTTAAATGTTACTCTAGTATTTTTTAATGTATAACCCTAACAACATTTTAGAGGCCTGCAATAAAGAACTGTAATTTCATTCAGAAAATTATTTCTACGGTATATTGAACAATGTAGAGTATTTTAAGGTATTTTTCCCCTCAAGTCTTATTTTAGATGTCAATCTGGATAAGTTACTCCATGCAGGCAGAACCGTGAGCCTGTGGAAGTCAGTGGGGCAGTGTGTGGGAGCAGGAGTCTGCCCACATGCAGTAACGTGTAAGATTCAGGCCTTGGGTCTGAAACAAACAGGACTTTTTTGGGGGTGGGGTGGGGAGGGGAAGTCTTGTCACAACTAGAGAATTGTGTGGAAACTGTCTGGGATGGGTGGGAAGGTTTAGTATTTGCTGGCAAAAAGTAAGAGGGGGTGGGACAGTAAGTATTCAGTTCAAAATACTACTGTTTAAAATCTCATTGTTTCTACCACTGGCACTTTATTGGCAACAAGAATGGTGAAATCCTCTCTAGAAAGCTGGGGTAGGCAAAGTCCTCAATTTTCACAGTGTGGCACTTGGCTGAAAAAGTGCTTGTCATCGTGAAATAGGGTGACCAGATGTCCCGATTTTATAGGGACAGTCCAGATATTTGGGGCTTTTTCTTACATAGGTGCCTATTACCCCCCACCCTCTGTCCCAATTTTTCACACTTGCTATGTGGTCACCCTATCGTGAAACAACATCAAAACTCTCCTTTTGTTTTCATGAAAAATTCAAAGTAACAGAGAAAAATGTTTCCCTCTCTTTACCTGAAATCCTGCAAAAATACCTTCAACCCTCTCTTCCCCAGCAGGGGAATATCCTTTTCATGCAGTCTTGTTGGAAGCATTGGGTTTTTGCCTTACCCATCTCCCAGTGGTGTCAGTGCGAGCCTTCCTATTGATTTTAATTGGAACTGGTTGAGAAATAGTATTTTCAGCAGAAAAAATTGAAATACATGATTTTTTTTAAATGGTCATGGAATTTTTCAGGTTTTTCCAGAAAACAAAAATGGAAAAAAATTGTTTTTTTGAAACAAAAAACATTTTTTTTCATTCACCCGCTTCCTCTCCCCTTTTCTTTTATCCCATTAGAAAAAAGGGAAAGTGAAAACCAAGAAAGGTTTTGTTTTTTGTTAAAACTTGGAAAATTTCAATCAAAATAAATTTTTTCTGTGAAAAATTTCATTTAAAAAGTATTTTGTGGAGGGAAAATGTTGATTGAAAAAAAAATTGACCAGCCCTAATTTTAATAGATATTGGATCTGTCCTTTTCTTGAGGGTACAGGAGGGCTGATCATTTCTTATTTTAGCCCACTATTTCAATTGACTGTGAGGCTCAGGGAAAAGGCATCTGTTATATGAGTGAAAGTGCTACCCAGCTGGCTCCTGGAAAGTCCCATAACAGGGCTACACTGGGGAGAAGCCTGGTTTTTCAGTCAAGACAACATTTAGGAGTTTAAGGAATTTCAGTGCCCAAATGCCACTCGATTTGCATTTGAAAATCCCAACCTTCTAGTACAAGGGATAGGATTTGGCTGCATAGGAAAGCAGGAATTTTTGCAGGGAAGTCCTATGGCCTGTGTTACGCAGGTCAGACTAGATTATCACAATGGTCCCCTTTCAACTTAAAATATATGAATCAATGAGAACCTGCCGACATTAGTGGTTTTGCACTTGGTGTAGGGGGAGTCCATCTGAACAGATCACGCTACAGGATTGGGGCATGGCTTGTAGAAATGGTGGAGCTTCCTTTCCTCACACTAACACACTAAAATCCCACCACCACCGTATCAAATAAACTCCAGGCACATACTCTTTGTGCTCTCCCTGGTTCTGGAATGGAAAGGATGCTTTAGGCTATGTCTTGCAAGGCAGAAGTTCTCAAACTGCTCTCCGGAGCTCTCCTTCACCCCCTGCATCCTGTAACAGTGTGAGACACAAGCAGTTGCTGGAAAGGAAGGTGGTTCCAGGAGGGAAGAGTTTCTTTCACTCAAAGGCTTGCCAACACACAGACGTGCACAGCTTACTAAGGCTTGGTTTACACTTAACACTTATGCAAGCATAAGTATGTTGGCCAGGAGTGTGAAAAACACATACTCCTGGTTGGACATAGCTATGCCTACCACACCCCCAGTATAGATGCAGCTATGCCAACACAAGAGTGCTTCTGTGAGCATAGCTACTGTTATATGGGGAGGTAGGGTTCTTATGTCGATGGAGTTCTCTTGGTCTACAATGGGGGGGCTATGCCCATGTAGCTATGTTGGCATAGGCTTTGTAGTGGAGACATAGCCGAAAGATGTGATGTTGCCCCAATGTAGTGAAACTGGTGCAGCTTTGCATGTGGACGCTCTTAAAACATTGTAAACCTGGCTTACCTTGGTGTAGCTTGCCTCTATTAAATGAGGAGCTGTCAGGAGTTGATAATGCTGCAGACAGATGGCCTCATTCTCCTCTGATATATACTGGGCTAAAAGTTTTATAAAGAGGACTACTCTCCCCTTCCACCTGTAAGGGGTTAGAAGTGGATGTAAGTGGCCCCGCTTCAGGAATGGTTTCCGTCTTCATTTGCTACAGCTATAATATGGCGCTGAGGGAATGATAAGTATCCCTAAAATAACATGACCTCCTAGGGACACTCAAAACCAGTAGAGAGAGATGAAATGCCATGCTTTGGCTTGAGATGCATCTGAGTGCGAACCCTGGATTCAAACACCTGCAAATTTGGGGACGTTGGGATCTAGATTCAGATCCACATTTTGTGGCTTGGGATGCTGCCTAGTTTTAACATTGCTCCTGACAGAAACACCCCATGCTGAAATGGAGGTCCCTGTTTGTAACACTAACACTGTGTCACCCAGCAATCAGGATCATCTAATGATGTTGTGCCATTCTTTCCAGATCTACTTTTCAGGGGAGAGGGATGTTGCAATTTTGAGAACCATAAAAATCAGCAATCGGAAGCAGCAGCTTGCTTGGGCTCCTGGTTCAGAATAGCTAGGTGCCAACTCAGAAATCATTCTATTAACACCACTTGTGTCCACTTCTCGTGTCTCTTTCTCTCTGTGGAGCAGGATTGACGTGGGAATTGGGTGGAAGTTTTGCTTCTGTGCTTTCTTTGAATTGTGCATTAACTGCAACTAAATGAATATGGAGCATCACTAAAAGCACAAGTGACATGCCTGGGAAATGAAGTCCCTCTGAGCTGACCATTAGCAGGGAATATAAAAAGAAAGGAGTAATATGATCATCTTCATAGCTACAAGAATTCAAGTGGTGTTGATGCTGATAGGAGAAATCGTAACATATTTCCCTCACCTTGGTGCATAGCTATTCCTTCATCGTTTGGCCTCCAGTGATAGGCAATTCAAATAAAGCATGGTGCATTAATTGATAATGATCCAGGGGAGAATGAAAACAGCCACCTAACATGCAATATCCCAGCACTAACCAGGCTCTTAGCCCGAGTGAGGGCCTGATAGATACTTCCAGTTTGTGTAGGGGAATTCCTTCAAGTACTATCAGATTACTTTGTGATTGTTATTAGATTAAAAGCTATGGGATGAAAGCAGCTGTTCCCTTCTTTCTGCATTCTGGCTATCTCTGTGTGTCAGTATATCACATGATTTGTGTCTTCTGAACTGAAGTGTTGCTGAAATTGCTCTGCATCGACATCAATTTATGTAAACCTGCCAAGTCTTTTTTAGTGAAATATTTGATCAGCTCTGGCTTTTCAACACAAACCTCCCAGAGCCGTCCACAGTGGAGAAAAAGGTGGGGAAGGGGAATCTCCCTTTCCATTCTTTAAGCCCTGCGAGGGGGCATCTCCTGTGAACCTGCAATAGTTTTCCAGGGGTTATTCTCTCAAAAGGAGCGTTCCCCCACTAAATTTTGACAAAGTTGGAGGGTTTCCCTTTGAGCTCCTCAGACTTTTATGGTTCTCAGACTTCTGAAGGCATTGCTGGGGCTCCTCTCCAAACCTGAGCAAATAGTGGTTGGAGGTTTGAAACTGCAATAGCATTTTTGGCCAGGGGTGGGGAGGGGGAGAGGAAGAGCTCTTGTTGAGAGCGATCCAAAGGTCACCTCTGAATGCAGCCACAAGCCTATCACTTCCTGCCCCAGAAATCTCTAGTTCTCCCTACTCGGCCCCTTCATCCCACAGCAGCAGGTCACAGCACTCAAAAATCTCTCTTTGTTTATTCCTGGCACACAGAACTGTAGGCTATGGTGGATCATTGGATGCTTTTTTGCCCATTTTGTGAGTCCTGCACAAAATTAAGTTGAGAATTAATGGGACCCTGGAATTAGGAAGAGGCTGTCCAAATTACATGAGAAGATGGGCTTTTTGGTGAAGCCCTTTCCTCACAAGTCTTCTCTAGCTGAGGGCTTTCTGGTAGAGTGGAACACATCATATGCAATGAAAACTGGGGACTCCAATGTAAAGGAGAACCGCTTCAAACCCACAAGGCCCCCTTTTCAAGTTAAACTGGGAAAACAGTGGAGATCACCCTGACAGCTTCAGTGGGGTTAAGGATGAGGGGATAGAACTTAAAGGGTGGTCAGAAACTGTGTGAAGAAGTTATGGCTTGCAGAAATAAACCCTTATTCATTACTCTTTAGCATTAAGCCTTCCTGGTGTTTTCCTTTGTCTATAGAACTCCTTAAAGTCAAAAGAGTCCAGTTGGTTTCTTCCAGCCTTTGACTTCTTGAATGCTGAATGAGCCGCCTATGATGCAACTGTACCCACAGTTCTCTTATTAAATGTCTGACAAAGAGCTTCCTATTTTCAAAAGCAATTGCCCATTTCAGGCTTTGGTGAAGACCGAAGAGGTGTTCCCCAATCAAAGCCAGTTCAAAAGGCCATTTACGGTTCTAAATAGGATAAGAGAAGTTTGCAGAGAGAAGGCTGCAGCTTTGAATTCCATGAGGTAAAGGTAAGAAAATTTACAGCCTATGCTTCCTATCCATACTTACCTTCCTGTAATTAATTATACAGCCTGAATCCCCTCATCCTAATCTGTCTGGCAACAAGAATCTATCTGGTTTCCCCCAGTGAATCGTTACACTTTCAGTGTGGTAATTATGTGATTCATTCAGACTTTCCCGATTGGAGGGGCTTTGACTCTTCAGAGATTTTTTTTTTTGGTCATCGATGGGTCTTAACAGAAAAGCAGGATACTACTAATGCTTAGAGCTAGAAATTGGCAAATGAGGATGTCACTAAGCAGGCACAACACCTTTCTAGAACAACAGTTTATAGAAACTACAAAGAGTGACTCCATGATTCAAAATGTATCTTAAAAAAATTGTGGCACCAATCTAAAATAATAAAAATAGAAAGGGCCCTTTCCCTTGTGTAATGAATTACACCTGGGCAAAGTGAGCACAATGACTTCACCAGATACAAGCCAGCAGAGAATCATGGCCAGCAACTCTATTGTTTTAGAGCCAAGAGTAGTTAAGCAGAGTGCAAAACATTCTTCAAAACAAAGGCTAAGATCTCTGTCTCAGAGTGATGTTCTCTTCTACCACCACCAAGTAAAGGGAAAACCATAGTGGCCTGCCCTGTCCTTGCTGCAACTTCCTAGGAGAGGGATCCAGTCAGAAGTGTTTGAACATAGGAACCGGGGATGGGGAGGAAAGGAGGATGGTTTATGTTGCTGCAAATAAAATAAAACCCTCCCAATCCCTGTAGTTGTGGTATTAAAAATGTAAACGGGAATGAACATTAAAATAACGAATTACAGGCTGAATATTGCACTCAATGAATTTCTAATTATGTACATAAAACCTTACCTTATCTGATGTCTTCTCATGGGTTCTTTCCTTTTCCTTTTCTCTTTTGGTTTTTTTTTAATTTGTATATTGATTTTGTAAGCTAGCTGTGTGTTATCTTTTTGATATTTTTCAAACTTGTATGAAAGCCATATATACACATTAGAGGATGAAAGCATTAATCCTGTAACATTCCTTAATGATTCCCTTAACTTGGCAGGATCGTGGGAGGTCCTAGAGAATGTATATGTTTACTGATTGTATCAACATAATTTACTTGCTCTTAGTGGAGATGAAGATGTTAAATAAACTAATACACAGAGGTTTGGCGGTGTCATCATCTGCTTGTTGAAACAATAAGGGACTTTGAAAGTCTCCTGCAAGAATTCCAAAGATTTTTGGAGGGGCTGTATATCTTCCAGTGTGGTGTCAGTTTGATGTCAGCCTTGGGGTGTTGCATTTTTAATAACCCCTTTCTGTATAAATTCTTAGAAAGAGTCTTTATTTGCAGGAAGAAGCCTGGCCAAGTAACAGAGATGGGCAGCTCCTCTGTAGTCATGGGCATCTAGACTGAAGTCTGTCTTCTCAAAATTCCCTCCGTTTCCCAGTCCCGTAAAAGGGAAACACTTTATTAATAAACTCCAGAACATAGACACAACACTGAGAGGTGGGAGAGGAGTTTGGAACCAACTTTCTCATGGTCTCAAATAAGAATATCATGCACTTCCTCAAGAATGGAATCTTCTCCTCAGTCCTTTTCTGCCATGTCTAATCCTTTTGGGGAAGAGGTGTGGCAATGGTGGGGGAAGTAACTGGGCATCAGACAGGAGATAAGATATTTTCATTTCCATTAAGGAACAAAGAAGAGGGGTAATAAAGTGATGATGGCCTAGCTGTTCTTTCCATCTCCCTTCCCCTTTTGCCTTCTTAAGTCTTTCTCCTTTGTCTGCCTCCTCTTGTCGTTCCTATTCCCTTTTTCTTTTATTTTTGTTTCCCTTCCCTACTGTTTTCTTAAATATTCAAATACTTTGAATACTCCCCCACCCGCTCTTCTCCTGCTGAAGTGGCAGTTCTATTCCCCACTAATAGGACAAGAGGTGTTATGCCTGGAAGTATGAGCCCAAGCTGGTTGTTGGCTGGATTTGTGATAGAGCTAGGAAAAGTAAATGGGCTTCTAGTACTGTTAGGAAGACAATGAACTACTATTGTAAGCTGTGAAAACTGCCATTGTATTCTTCAAATCGCTAAAGGGCTTGGCAAGCCAAAGCCCACAAGGAAACCAGCTACCTACTCTTATTTATTTATGCAATAATAATCTTCCATAATCTGCCTGGCAAGCATTTACACTATAAAACTGGGATCAGAGAGGGAGTTATGGCAGCTTTAAGCTTCTTTTATGCTGCCTGTATTCTGGGGCTGTTCAGGGGTCTACCCAGGTGTAAGTTATCAAGGTGCTTTAACTTATACTTTGCTTCCTATGTCCCCCTATGTAGGCCACTCTTGTCCCACACCTTCCCTTCACCAAACATACCCACTGTGCCATGTACGTGGCTGGCAGAGAGCCCTTATGGCACTTATACACCAGTGAGGTGCCCCCCCTGGACAGAAGAAATTCTCAGAGGGCTTTTATAAGGCTCATTTATCCTGACAGAGTGGCATAAAGGGATCCTAGTGTACAGTGAGAATCAGGCGCCATGCTTCTAACACCTCTTATGACACTTTTCTACATACCTCTAGAGGTTGCTATACACACCGTGTTAATTACATAGACCAATGAACATAATAATACCTGGTAGTGAGTGGGAATAGAAGTCAAGTGGCACTTCTAGTCACAGGCTGTAGATGGTTTATGTGGTGCCTAATAACATCAGTTCTTATGTAGGGTAAAGTAAAGGTAATTGCAGCTCCTGCTTCATGGCAACAGCTGATTACCACAGAGATGAGGAATGAATTCTCTCCCTTCCCTTCTAATGTACAACATTTCTCAACTGACTAGTTACCAATGGACGGAAAGGATGGTCGCTTTCTGAAGCCACAGCCAGAGGCAAGATATTTGACTAGATGGACCATAGGTTGGATCTAGCATGGCAAGTTCTATATTCCATTTACAAACCATGGTCACAGCATTCCTGGCTAAAAGTACAACCTTACTCAAGGATGGATATTAGGAAAAACTTTTTCACTAGGAGGGTGGTGAAGCACTGGAATGGGTTGCCTAGGGAGGTGGTGGAATCTCCTTCCTTAGAGTTTTTTAAGGCCCGGCTTGACAAAGCTCTGGCTGGGATAATTTAGTTGGGGATTGGTCCTGCTTTGAGCAGGGGTTGGACTAGATGACCTCCTGAGGTCCCTTCCAACCCTGATATTCTATGATTCTATGATCCTCGGCAAGTTACACTACACATAAAACTACCATTGGCCTTGTAAACTGTAGAACAGTCCCAATGCTGAATGACTGGCCTGCACCAAACAAAACATAAGATCTAAGGGGAAAGAGATTTGTTAAAAATCATAACACTGAAGTAGTGTATAAGTTTAGAATTAATGAACAGAAACCAGCTTGTGCATTGTGAAGAAAATACACACATGCCCAACCCAAGTCTCGACAGATTCTCTGAAAGCCACCACTTTGTGTCACTCTCTAATGAAGCTCTGTGGCTAATCAATGTGTCCTGGCCTTGAGGGATGAGCATGCTGCTCCTGTAGCCCTTGTTCTCTGTGATCTGGGATCAACAGAACAATATTTATTACTAAACATATTTCATGGGGTTTGGTGGAGCAAGAAGTGTTCAGGGTTAAGACCTATGAACACAGGAATATAGGAATTGCTGGACTGGCTCAGACCCATAGTCCATCTAGTCCAATATCCCATCTGACAATGGCCACCACCAGATGCTTAAGAGAAAGGTGCAAAAAACCCCAACAGTCTATTTACCAGAGCAGTGAAAGAGCAAAGAAATAATCCTAGCTGCTCATCCGAGTATCTATATCCCTAAAAGTTTTGGGTATTTCAGTCATCTCCAAGACATTCCTTTAACTCTTTTTGGTTGGCTGGCCATCCTGCAGTATATATTAATAAAAGTTCGCTGCCTTTTTCAAGTGCTTAAGTCAAGTGTCAGGCTCTTAGGGCACTGTGATTAGGGTGGACGTTGGGTGGGATTGATCAAATGCTTAAGGGTTTACAGAATTAGGTTCCAAGTTTGTAAATTGTTCTGGATGAAACTGGCAATGCCTGAGCTGTCAGATGAGAAGGAGCTTCATTCGAAAAAAGGTGGGCAGATGTGTGATAAGTCTTATCTCCGTTGCTAAGATGAACATATTTTCAGCAAAGTTCTTGACAGATTCCTGAGGCAGCTGGTTTAAGGCCGTCAGGGTCTGGCATTATAATCTTCACTTATAGTTCTCTGACCCACAAAGCTGAAACATAAGGCATTTGTTTTCTTTGTTTTGCTGCTCCAGTTCCAGTTAACAAAATGCATTTTAGACTAGTTTGGCTGCAAAGAAGAATTCTATGTACCCTGGGGACAGCACCTGATTCCCATAAGGCTGCAGAACTGGGCTGACATCAGAATCCAAACATCCTCTGGTCAGTGCAAGCAGAAACATTCCTCTAATGATTTGGACTTGATGTGATACAGTATGAATGTCGTGGATAATTCAGACCAATGGGGAGAAACAGAATCAAAAACACTGTTTAAACACCTTCTGTCCTCCCCACGCCTCCCTTCTTGAGGACTCCTGACCAACCTAACAGCACAATACATATGCTAACAAACTTAAACAAAGCCTCTGTTTGTTTGTTAGCATATGTATTGTGCTGGTAAAGCCATTTAAAGAATGAATGTCCTCCCTAACTGCATTCTGCTCCTTTAAGGCTAGCCCCGAGTCTTTCTGGTACCTCGTACCTGCTAAAAATCTCTTGCCGGTACTGCGTACAGGAGGGCACCGACTTACTTACACTCCTGGGTGGACTGAACTACAAGCAGCTGAGTCTGAAGAGAAGGCTTGGACTGACCCAAATGTTGTTTGGTTATCCATCTGTTTGATAATAAAATCAAACTCTAGGAAGGGGGAAGAGGTTTTTTTTGACTTTATGCAGGTCATGTAGGCTGTGTCTCATGGCACATGGGAAAGTCACTTACTCACAGGCACTATCCTGAAGGTACATTTGCTCAGCATCTAGTGTTCATCTACCACCAAAGTAAAGAAAACCCCATAATCTTTAAATCAGGCACAATCCTGTCATTTAAATCGCAGCAGTCTTCTGAGCATATAGCATAATGGACAACTTGTGGGAAAAGAAGATTTGACACTAAATAGATAAAGCGTCACAGGGTAATCAGTATGAGAATATCTCTAATCCCTGTTGGGTCCTCTGAAATATGGCAGAGGTTACAGGAATAGCTCCTTAGGCATTTACCATCAACACAATTTATTTGCTTTTTGTGATTAGATTAGCTCCCAGTGGCCCAAAGATCAGAGACCTACAAAGAAGGCTTACAGAAACCTTTGTCGCTCCCCCATCTGCCTAACCTGCACTAGGTGGCAAATGCCCAGTCCAGCGGATCTGACCCAGAATCCTTGCTCTGAGAGATATTGCAGTCAGTAAATTAAGATGAGAACACAGGAGGAAATGGGAAACACAGGGAGGGGATTGATAGGGAAGAATTAAGGTATATATAGTGGAAGTTGATAGTAATGAATGTAAACCAAAACTATGATTTGTAGAAAATTGATAAGGGAAGCAAAGAGACACAAGGAGAAATCTATGACCAGAACAGTTAAGGACAATAAGAAGGAGTTTTTACAGTATATTTGGAACAAAATAAAAATCCAGATGGAAATGGCAGAATTGTCAAAATAATTCAGGCAAGGCAAAAGTGTTCAATAAATACTTTTATTCTGTATTTGAGGGAAAAAAACCAACTCTTTAGTCATATCATATGATAACACTCTTTCCACTCCACTAGCACATCAGGAGAATTAAACAGTAGTACTAAAGTTAGATATTTTTAAATCAGAATGTCAGGTTAAGCTGCATCCAAGAGTTTTAAAAGAGGTGACTGAGAAGCTCATTGGACCAGTAATAGTGATTTCCAATCAGTTTTGGAATACTGGGAATGTTCCAGAAGACTGGAAGAAAGCAAATGTGCTAATATTTAAAAAGGATAAATGGGATGACCCCAGTGATTATAGGCCTGTCAGTCTGACACCAATCGTGGACAAGATAGCTATTTGGCTGATGTAGAACTTGATTAATAATGAATTAAAGGAGAGTAGAGTACAATTACTGCCAATTAACATGGGTTTATGGCAAATAGATCCT